AACCACTTCTACTTTTCATATATATATATATATATATATATATATATATATATATATATACGGTTCACGGTTCGCCGGCTTGCGCCCACCCTAAGCCACCAACTGCTAATCCATGTTCGGCCATGTAGAATATCATGGATTAAGCACCTTCCCACAGAGTGAACCATGTGTGAAACCCCAACACCACCCCTAACGTCCGCCACCTATCCAAACACGTTCTTCACCCCCACACATAAACTCCTGTCTTGTCGATGTAACCTCGATGTCCCCCTGACTCCCCAGTAGGATTATCTCCCTCACACTTTTCATTTTCGTCTGACGACTGGTTGGTGTAACCGACTTGAAAATTCTCGAGTATACCTCGATTTTCCGACGAGTCTTCTCCTTTTATATATATATATATATATATATATATATATATATATATAAATCGATATGAAATCATGTAAGGCGGATCTCCTATCCCATCTCCGTAGGAACTTGCGCTGTCAATTTGTATGCTCAAAAGTGGTGAGTGTCTGGGCTTTAGTAGATCAGTCGGCTAATTCCAGTGAATTTCCTAATGCTATGTTCGCCTTTGTTTGCGCTCAGGATTTCCAAACGACACACGTCTTAATTTGTCTACAGCACGGCCATCCTCTTGTTTCCCTGTGAAGAAGCTTCCGGAGTCCTAAAGTAAATGGGAGTCGTGTTATGTAGTTTGAAGAGCTTATTCGTAAACAGGTACGCACGAGGCTGCACAAGCGTCTGAAAGATTGTCATCCTTGCGACGATTTTGAGATGGGAGTACAGTTTGATTCGATTAAAAAAATGCTAGATCGGCGTGACAATAATAATTGAACCTTCTGGCTTGTTTTCTGTTAAATCCTTAATATCATCGGTAACCCATAATAAAAATAAAGGCCATGCATAAAGTCGTTTTCGACGATTCCCATTGACATAAACACCTGAAAAGGCACCTAACCATAGCATATTTTAGAACTGTATGAATTACCTCTGAACTGCCTACCATGTTACTTAACATTGCATCCAGACTTCTGCATTTTTTAATCTAAAACCCAAATTTTTAATATGCAATATTTTGAGTTCGGACGCCTATCGCAGTATCCTATTGACAAAACCATCTCCTTACCTTAGTATGCCAAACAATTGCAGTCAACTTGAGTATTAGGCAATTTGTTGCGTCCTTACCGTCCCGTGGCAAAGGTTTATGTGGCAGATCTGGCTATACTGTTGTGTATTCCCTGTTATCATTCAACTGTGCGTCCCGTTTGGTGAAGATTTTCCTGCATACGTGGTTGTAAACGTGTTATAGCTAAACTGGGATTCGACGGCAGCAGCCGTTTTAGCTACCACCTGTGATTTGTGGTTACCCATTCGTAATCTGCTGGCAAACCGCCAGCGCGACGTTTGAAAATGATGGGATGTAGTAAGAAAAGGAGGCCAATCCTCCAGAAGCCCTTCTGGCCTCAAACCGTCTCATGCGTGAATCGTTCTGGGTACGGTGCGCCTGAAACCCAATTGTTTCACTGCTGCAGGCGTGTAAATTCTGTCAGACAAGACGGAATCCGTCTCGTTTGGCTAATCGGATGCTCGCATTTTGCATGTTTTCCCTTGACCTCTTTTTTGGAATAACCTATTCCATTCCTTAGTTCCTCTCACTGTTTAACTCCATTGGCTCCTTTGTGATCAAACTTGTTTGTCTTCATCTCTATTGAATGCCGTATCCCCAGTATCTGCAAACGTTTCAAGGCGAGAATTTGGACATAGTGCACACAATGTCCAAGGAGGTCCTCGGTGGTCTTATAAAACCTAGGTAAGCCAGGGCTTTTAGCCACGTTCTCAGTTTATTTTAATACTTTACGCGTGTGTTTCCCTCCAATTTTACACGCGCCAGTTTTCCATCCTGATTAAGTCGACAATAAATTTGAGGAGCCGTCGAACTTACTTCGAAAGTTGAAGCAGACTTAAGACTGGAGAACTTGCGAATGGACTCCAGATCCTCGTATTCTCCGAGTTTATAGCTGCAAAAAGGCCATTTATGTGTGGACTGATTGAACGAAGTCAATCATTGTCCATCTAAACTTCGAACTAAGGTAACTAAACTACCAGAAAGTGATGAGGGTGCATAGGCGAATTCATGACGATCAGCCAACTAGAGTAATTCGAGCTGTGTTGACGAAACCCATTAGACTCCCGCGTGGCCTGCGTTCTGACCACATTGGCCTCTTAAACATCACTTCTCTCCTATTCTACCGCTGACTTTCCATTGTGTATCCGAAACCCTAGGCTCAACCCTATTTTGCATTCCTCATTGCAGAGCATAGGAGAGCTCAGGGTAGGGCACGGTCATAAGTGCTCCCGTATTACAGGTCGTTTTGTGCTAAATTTCGGTTCAGGCTTGTGGCTAGGGTTGGGATTATGTTTTTATTTATGTAAGAGCTCTTGGGAAGAGCACGAACCTTGATCTTGTGCATCGCCGACATCCCCTAGCCGGTCATCTGGTGCATGTTAGGCGTGTGGGATGCCGACTTCTTAATTGTGCCCAGCAAAAAAATCCACTCTTAGCTATTTACTGTGATAATACGTGTGCAGTGATGCGCATCGTCCAATTCGGAATGACTGTAATCCCTGCCATTCTTCCCGAAACTTTGTTGATGCTGCGGATAGAGGACCGTTGACGTTTTTATGTTATTTTTTCCATCAAAAAGACCAATTGCTTGACTCACAAGCGCGTATACCTCGTCGCCAGCCTAACTAACTGTCAGCACGTGTATGCGCTTTGTACAAACTAGAAACAAAACGCAAGTATTGAAGCCAGATAAAGTTGCTCAGGCGCCGTCAGTCTCATTTACTACATAGACTGATGACTCAGACGGTGTTGCGATCACGGCTGGTTGTGTTGCTACGTCTGTTCTGCAGGCATCTCGAGCGCACACGAGCTCTCTCCCCCGGCATACACGCTCATAGGAGACACACGTTTACGTCTTTTGAGTGGATGGAGCACGTGCACATCCAGCTCTGTCACTCGGATACAACCACGTGCATTCATACATTCAGCAGCCATCCAGCCTATTCCCAAAGCTGGCATTGACTCACTCTCATGTGAGACCTGCCTAAGCATTCGAGCCCCACTCTCATCCTAGCTGGGGGAAACGCGCGCACTGACTTAGGACCGGATGCCTTCAGGCCTCTGTACCGGGTAAACACCTCCTGCTGGTGTCTCCCCCATTCGCAGCCTAAACAGAACTGAGGCCTTGGATTGTGATAGTTAGGGTGTGCCCATCAAGTTAATTTTTTTTCAGTTCCTCTTAGGTTCCTCATACAGGGCTAGATCTTGCCAACCCCCTAACTTATTCACCCTAACATTCTCATCTGTGAGGTGGATATGTGGAATCAGGATCCGAAATTTCGGTTTCATTTCAAGCGCGGAAAAAATGCCATCAGCTGCATTTTATGGCGAATATTTAGTAGCCGCTGTACCGGCGCCTAGGATTGCGGATCCCTTCATTCATTGCCACTGTTGTGTGTTGTCTGAAAATTCCTGTTGACGCATTTCGACAGACACCCTTCTTTCTGCCGACACCAGCCGCCCTGTTTGCGCATGGACCCGTTTAAATCAACAGACCTACAGCGGCCGGCCTTTAAGCACTAGTCAGCTAATAGGGTTCCGCTGACCACGATGCTGCAGTCTAGGAATGTAGTAAGCTGCCACGTTAACCACCCCTATGGGCACTGGTGTGGCCACATACCCTTTCACTGACTCAAAGCCATTCAGTACACCAGCTCGCCGAGCACTTGGACCTGCCCACCTCCTCTCCAGAAGGTACGGGATAGACGGTAGTTTTGTTGATGGGAAGGTTTCCTGCACCGACGCTCTATAAACACGGTCCCCAATCCTGGAGGTGAGTACCCCATGCCAAATTTGTCTGAATCAGGATTTACTGACCGCTTCAGTCAGGGGGGGGGTGGTGTGGCTCTTGGATTACAAGTTAGTATCCCGCACCGCCGATAGAACCGAGGGTGTTACTGCTGTCCACTGATAATCAGACAGTTGACTGCCGTGATGGTGGCTGTAGTTGCGCCCTGCAGTCCAGACGAAATGAAACACTCGTTTGCGGAGGATTTGGTGCCAACGCGAACCTTCAAGTCCCAACTGACAGAATAACAGCACAAAGCAGGGATTTGGCTGCACACCCTTGGACTGTTCCTTGAAGATATCAGCCTAATCAGTTGTTATGCTTATTTCCCCAGACTTGCATATATCACCTCATAACTTTGATAGAGACCGATCATGCAAGAAAGTCTCCATTTTTTCACAAGATGCACCAAGAACGGACATAATAAAGTGACGACAACAACTACTCATTTTCCTCCAACTTTCTGGTTTATTTCAGTCTACGTAGGTGACAGCCGTTTCACCTGTGCAAAAAAGTCAGGGAGTGAGTAATGGAAAAAAGAAAGAGGTTCTTCGGAAAAGGTCGTCTTGTATTCGTGACTTTTTAAATTACTGACACCAGCCCGTCGTCAGACGAAATGAAGATAAAAGAGACAGTCACCCCAGAATAGTTGGCGCGCGGGATAGACTGACGTGAGGACAATTAGCGTGTGAGAGAGTGGTTGTGGGCAGAGGGCCACGATGGGTTCTGAGCCGAGAGGAGAGGATGGGGGAGGAAGAGAACAGTTACGGCTCTCCGTGTTGAGGGGGGAGGAAGAATGGTAGGTTAGTGGAACTGTGGGCGGCTGGATTATCAATCAGTAATATGGGCCCGTTGCCTACGAAGGGTCACTCTCACGACCTTACCTCCATTTCTCTAGTCACCTTACTCAACGTGACGACGTCCCATGCTACTCCCTACTACGAAGTCAGGAGTTGGTTAAATGCATAAACCCCTAAGATCAACTCCTGGTTTCGACCACATTTCGTGTCAGGAAGTTTTATTGCCGGAGATGGTGATTTGCGCAACAAGTCAAAGCGTTCCCTCACGAATCTATTTATCCGATCATGCGCTCTTTTTGTTATTCAAATGTAATCCAGCACCGTTGTCCGTGAAAGACGATATTCGGACACTTGCATAGCTTGACACCCGCCCCAAGTATACCTTTGTATATTTGATAAATTGATCGAATGCCAATCCGTACCCCCTAGAACGCCTCAATTCACTTCCTCCTTGCCAAGATCATTGTACCTCAAACCTTGTGTATTTCATAAAGTCACATATCTTTTCTGGTCCACAAGGCAAAACCACTAACTGTGGTTGATGTGTTACCGAGAAATACTTTGCGCTGTAGCCAGCAAATGCCTTTACTACGTTTAGGTTCCAGACCTTCACACCGATCCATGCATCCCCTACAAAACTTATTGTTTTAAGGTACGTCTCTTTTTAGGGACTTTGTGCTACTTCGCGTGTGGGGAGAATCCAATGGCATCCTCTACATTGCATCTACCTCAGTTCTGCATCCTAAGTGCCCGCCTCGCCCAGAATGCATACGGTGAGATTTAATCAATGCAACTTCAAATTCATGGTTAGCTGCACAAATCAGACTCATTTGTCAATCTGCACTACCCTATATGCTATAAATGAGCCTATTTGCCCCACATTAGGAATAAGTGGACTCATCACCCTCTCGGTAACTAACTGGATTTGCTACAGAGTCTGTACAAGCTAAACGATTGCCACTTTATTCCCACCAGAGCACATCTATTTTTTTTTCAGTGCTATCCGACAGAAATTGAGGGATTAGTGAATAAAAACGTCAGATGGACAAACATTTGGGGAACCCAGAATTATTGGCACATGATGGCTGGAAGGATACGAATCAGCGAATTCCAGGTTTTGGTCGTTCATTAATAAAAACGACGCCGGATCACAGACAACTATTGTGTTTTATAGAGAACACAATAGTTTTCATCCTCTTCTGTTCTTCGGCGTGAAAACGAAGCATCTATCCGCCCTGTCAAAAGGATCTCGAACTAGCGCGATTTGAGTGTTAAAGACCGCACACCGTGTTTAAGTGAAAGCCAAGAACGGTGTTTGTGACGTCCCTACTAGTAAGGACCGCTGATTAGCGGTCTCGGCCAAGAAGGGTCGAGGAAATGATCGGAATTTTTATGTCCAAGGGTAAACGCTCCATTTGTGGGTTAAGCATCTCGACTGTGCAAGGCAATTACGTTTTTATCCACATTTGGGCAGTCGTTTGGGTCTTATAAAAGAATAGAGTGACTTTCTTTGATAAGAACGTTACGGGTTTGTACTATGTGCAGGTAGTGTTATTTCATCTACTCGGACCGACCAGATTCATTTTAAAGGATGTCACTGCACCGAACGATCGATGCTTCACCGTTAGCAAGTTGGGGAGTTCTCGCACTATCAGATGTCTTTCACGTCCAACTACGCGTCCTGGATCCAGAACGATAATCACGTTTGGACTGACCTTCAGGAAGTGACTCAGCACGGCGGGACTGCAGGCGTCCCTTTTCTACAGCCTTCTCGAGAAAATCTTAACTGTTTCAGATTCCCCAGCGGTTTGCTCACCAATCCTCTACATTCGTCGGTTCAGCGTCAAAAAGTGCCATTTACGTTTAGAGCTCTCACTGGTGTTTGCCAGAGCCATCGTTTATTTTTTGATACAGATCAGGTATCCAGTTCAAATATTTACCTCAGACGCGTGAAAACATCGTACGGCGGCCTCTAGATAAGGACTATGGGTGTTGGGTGTGCGACGCTTCAGCTCTTTCACGTAGACGGACAAGCCCAGGATGATC